GCTTTCTCTTTCCGTTATCCTTCCTTTTGCAACTTTCTTTTGACTTGCCCAGCCCGCGTTCCTTTCCTCCTCTCCCTTCCATTCCTTTCATATCTATCCTTCAAAAAGGGAATTCTGAAAACGGCAAGGATAAGAAAGGGGAATGAAACAGTACCAGGGAAAAGTTCCCCTGCTCCTTCTCACTACCTCTTAAATCTCTCTACATCCCTCTGTTTTTTCTCATGATTTCTTCTGCTGCAAAGTACTTTGGAAATAGGCGGTTTGAGAGTTTGAGATCATGTCCGCAAGGAACAGGACGCATCCGCAATAGTGGTACATCTTGTGGAATTGGAGGAGGAGGAGGAGGAGTGGGTGAGAGGAATGAAAAGGAAGAAGGGAGGGAGTGACACAGAGCGTGACATGAGGCCGAGGCCGTGGGGGAAAAAGGGTCTTTTGGGCTGGGCTGGCTGAGGTGAGGCTGGTCAGGCTGGCACGGCTCGGGGTGTCTATACTAAAGCACCACTCCCAGCTCCAAATAAACCACGCCATTCGCTCGGCTCAGGTGGATCGCCCCCAACGACCTCAGCCGCGCACTGAGCCGCCGCTGACCCCAACGACAGCCGGGACCTGGCCTGGCTCCTGGAGATCCCGCAGGAAAAGGGTGAGTGCAAACCCAGGTGTTCATCACTCACGCACCCTTCTTTAGCCTCAGTTTTAAGGGGGGCTTTGTTGGGCTTACAGAGCCTTCGCGCCTCCGGGAGGTACTCGGCCCACAGTCAATGGGCTGCGGCTTTGCTGCTTTTGTTCATGGCGGGCGTCCTCATCGCGAAATGCAAATCCGGCACCAGTTCTGTGGGCCGTGCCGTGCGCACTACTCGGACTACTCGGCTCTCGCCTCCCTTAGCTGACAAGTGTTTTCCGGTATCCCACGGAGCCCTTCCTCTCTTTCAGCCAGGGCTCGAGCCAGTGTGGCCTGGGTTGTTGCCTTCCCCATCTTGTTAGCTACAACAACCCTGAACACGTCCTGGTCCTGACATTTAGAAACAAGTGTTTATCTTATTCCTGAATATGTGAAGGGCAGGTTCCAGGCTTTGCGAACTCAAGCAGTTCAAAACGGGTACCACTCCGATGCATGGCTGCATGGCTATATTATACTGATGCTCTGTTGATTAAATACTGGTTCCGAAGCCTTTACATGGCAGCCAGTAGCAGCAGAAAGCGCGGTAAGACACGTCGTGTCGATGTTTTTTTTGGGGTAGGTTCAAGCCATGTCTTGGGGCAGGCCGCAGAGACGTGATACCGTCAGCATGAAGCCACACACCCTGTGCAAGCCTTTCGACTCTATGAAAAGCACACTGTATCCTTTGCTGTAGCAGACAAGTTTTGGAGAACGTTCCAGTGTTGATTCAGGTTAATCAGTCGAGTTGCTCGGGCTTGAGAATGTACACATGGACTTCAGCCGGTTGTTGTATAGAGCTGGCAAGGGCATAAAGTGTTCCCACGTGTTCCCTTTGCTTTTGCGTGTTACACTTGCCTCAAGAGGTCGGAACTCCGCCCGTGTTGATGGTCATGGAGCGCCAGGTATTATCTATATTATATCATACAGATATATATATATATATAT